AACATCTTTACCTTGTCCTCTATTGATGGTCTTATTCATTTGGTTTGAGATCTTCCTGTTCTTGGTATGATGAGTGATTTTCAATTGAAACTTAGATATTTTTGTGTTGTTATGAGGCTCTAGATCTTAGTTAAACCTTCTGTTTTAGCTAGGTTTTTTTATTTTTAACTACATTCTACAGAGGAACGGGAAGGTGCTGCCTCATTACTGCCTTGTTACTGCCAAGTATATTCTAACTCCACCAGTTTCCTCGCTGAGTCTTTGTTGACAGCCAAGGGGAGACATCATGGAAGACACTCCCCATGTGGTCTCTACTGACATTGTGGTAAGCAGAGGACTTATCACTGCTCAATGATGGTGGAAGTCCTAATTCTCTACTAGGCTTCTTCTGACACTACTTCAGTGGGGAGGCATTAGGGTACCATGTTAGTGTCCAGTAGAAGCTTAGGTTCCCCATGCAGTCCCCAATGACACTGCAGGAAACCCTCATTTCAGGCCATTGAGGATGAAAATCCTACCTCTTTATCTGACCTTCTCTGACATCACTCCAGAATTCTAATACGGTGTTAGAAAGGTGGGAATCTAGGACCCCACTCAGTCTTTACTGACATGCGTGGGTTGGGGGACCACTATTTTCTGTGGTGTTGACTAAAGTAGAGTGATGATTATCTAAAAGTTTTCTATCTTGTTGGACTGCCCCTTTTTTGGTCCTTTGGCTAGACAGAGCAGGCTTTTGTTGGGGCTTTTTTGACTGTATCACTGGCATTTCCAGGTTGTTGACTTCTTCAGTTTCAAGTCTGGGATATATGAGTCAAAAGAAAACTGGAACTTAGCATCATGTCTTTCCTTGGGTCTCAAGGTCCTTCACTGGCCTGTCTTTTTTCTATCTCTCGGAGCCTTTTTATAGTTGTTTTTTTATATAATGCCAATTATATGTATAGTTTCTGGTTGCACTTAGTTTGACCAGAAAAAAAAAACAAACCACACACGGAAAAGTGTGTCTACTTGATCTTTTCTAGAAACAGAAGTCCTCTTTATTTAACTGTAACCAATTCTTTCTGTGAGAGTTTGAACTGTGTTCTTATGTTCCCATTTACTTACTAAGGGCCCACTCCAAACAACCCAACAGGAGCCATGACACTGCTACTGGACTAAATTTGAGTATTGGCATTTCCTGAAACCTAAATAAAATATCAGCCCACATACTCCAGCGACATATCAAAAGAATATTTTTTGTTCAAGAAGGGTTAATTCTAAAATACAGGGACAGTTTGACATTAATAAATCCAATGGTGTGACTATATTAATACATCAAAGGAGAAATCCATGTGATCATTCCCTTAATGCAAAATATGCAATTGACATAATTCAACATTCTTCCTCTAAAATTTTCCTAATAAAATAGGAATCAGTGAATACTCTCTTTAAACAATTGAAAAACAATAATCCAATTTATAATTGCACCAAAATGAATAAGATACCTAGGAATAAATTTAACCAAAAAGGTGAAAGACATTGATTAAAGAAATTAAAGATGACACAATGAATGGAAAGATATACCATGCTCATGAATTAGAAGAACTAATATTCTTAAAATGTGCATATAACCCAAAGCAATTTACAGATTCAATGCAATCCATGTTAAAATACCAAGAGCATTTTTCACAGAGCTAGAACAAATAATCCTAAAATTTGTATAGAACTACAAAAGACCTCAAAGAGTCAAAGTCCAATCTTGAGAAAGAAAACAAAGCTAGATGTATCACAATCCCAGATTTCAAGCTATATTTCAAAGCTAAATTCATCAAAACAGTATGGCACCGACACAAAAATAGACACATAGATCAATGGAACAGATAAAGAGACCAGAAAGAGACCTACATTTATATGATCAATTAATCCATGACAAAGGGGTGAGAATATACAATGGGATGGGGGTGGCTTAGTTTTTGAGTGTCTGCCTTTGGCTCAGGTCATGATCTTGGCATCTGGGATTGAACTGCTGAGCAGTCGGACTCCCTGCTCAGCAGGGAGTCTGCTTCTCTCTCTGCCTCTCCCCCTGCTTGTGCCCTCTCTCTTACTCTCTTTCACTCTGTCTCTTAAATAAATAAATAAATAACTTTTTAAAAAGAATATACAATGTGGAAATGACAGTGTTTTCAGTAAATGGTGTTGAGAAAACTGGACAGCTACATGCAAAAGAATTAAACTTGACCACTCTCTTATACTGTACACAAAAATAAACTCAAAATGGATTAAAGACCTAAATGTGAGACCTAAAACCGTCAAACTCCTAAAAGAAAACATAGGTAATTTCTTTTCTTTTTTTTTTAAGATTTTATTTATTTGTCAGAGACAGAGGGAGAGAGAGCGAGCGAGCACAGGCAGACAGAGAGGCAGGCAGAGGCAGAGGGAGAAGCAGGCTCCCTGCCCAGCAAGGAGCCCGATGTGGGACTCGATCCCAGGACCCTGGGATCATGACCTGAGCCGAAGGCAGCCGCTTAACCAAGAGCCACCCAGGTGTCCCAACATAGGTAATTTCTTATAGTGATCTCTTGGACATTGGCCTTAGCAACATATTTATGGATATGTCTCCTCAGGCAAAGGAAACAAAAGCAAAAATAAACTAAGGAGACTATATCAAAATAAAAACTTCTGCACAGCAAAGGAAATAATCAAGAAAACAAAAAGACAACCTAATGAATGGAAGAAGATGTTTGTAAATGATATATCCATGAGGAGTTAATATCCAAAATATATAATGAACTTGTATAACTCAAAACGAAAAAACTTATTAAAAAATGGGCAGAGGGCATGAATAAATATTTTACTAAAGACGACAGGCAGATGGCCTACAGGCACATGAAAAGATGCTCAACATCACTGGTCATCAGGGAAATGCAAATCAAAACCACAATGAGATATCACTCTACACCTGTCGGAATGGCTAAAATAAAAAGCACAAGAAACAAGTGTTAGAGGAAGTAAAGAAAAAGGAACCCTCGTGCACTGTTGGTGAGAATGTAAATTGGTGCAGTCACTATGGAAAACAGTATAGAGGTTCCTTAAAAAATTAAAAATAAGACTACCATTTGATCCAGTAATCACACTACTGTGTATTTGCCCAAAAAATACAAAAACACTAGTTTCAAGAGACATATGCACCCCTATGTTTATTGTAGCATTATTTACAATAACCAAACTACGGAAGCAGCTCAAGTGTCCATCCCTTGATGGATAAAGATGGTATATTTATATAATGGAATATTAGTCAGAAAAACGAATGAAATCTTGCCATTTTGTGACAACATGGATGGACCTAGAGGGTAATATGCTAAGTAAAATAAGTCAAATAAGGGAAGGTAAATACCAAATGCTCCCACTCATTTGGGGAATCTGAAAAGCAAAATTAACAAACAAAAGACTCGGGGCGCCTGGGTGGCTCAGTGGGTTAAGCCGTTGCCTTCGGCCCAGGTCATGATCTCAGGGTCCTGGGATCGAGCCCCGCATCGGGCTCTCTGCTCAGCAGGGAGCCTGCTTCCTCCTCTCTCTCTACCTGCCTCTCTGCCTGCTTGTGATCTCTCTCTGTCAAATAAATAAATAAAATCTTTAAAAAAAAAAAAACAGAAAAAAGACTCTTTTTTTTTTTTTTTTAAAGTAGGCCCCAGGCTCAGCATGGAGCCCAACATTGGGCTTGAACTCACAACCTTGAGATCAAGACTTGAGCTAAGATCAAGAGTTGGACACATAACTGACTGAACCACCCAGACACCCCGCAAAAAACAGACTCTTAACTATAGAGAACAAACTGGTGGTTGCCAGAGGGGAGGTAGGTGGAGGAAGAGGTAAAATAGATGATGGGGATTAAGAGATGTAAACAAACAAACAAATATCTCCAATCAAGTCAGCAGCACACTTGGTAGTGAAACATGAGAATCTTTCCCATTAAAATTTGGTTGTCCATAATCACCTTTATCATTTAACCTTGGTATGGGAATACTGGCTAATAAAACATATATAAATAGGATATAAATAACAATTTCTGACAAAACTATACTCTTATTTCCATGTCCTTCTACCATATTGTTTTCCCTTGAAGCTGACACTAATGAGGATTGCTTAGTCCATTTCAAACCTCAACCTGCTTTCCTTCCCCATGATTCAACATTTGACTGACAAGAGTTATGATCAGAATCATGTCTTATATTATTTTGTATTCCTAATCCTAGGTAATATTAGAATTAGTAGTATTAGTAGATACTACCCAGTATCCTAACACTGGGTAGAAGGTCCTCAGTAAATATTTTCAGATTAAGAATCCAAAATGTGATATTAAAAATTAAATTAATAAGAATATGTTACAAAACACACCCTTCAAAGGTAAATCAGTAATCTTATTTTCTTAAAGTTTGTTCAGAACCTAATACTTTGTGACTTCACAATTAGTATTTGATTTATCAATTTTTATGATGCAATCAAAATAGCATATCCTAGAATACTCAATATTTCTTAATTGGAATTTGGTTAAATCATAATCATTTTTATACCGAAGACCCTCAGCTAAAAATCCCTCATATTCTAAAATATTCCCAAAATTTGATGAGAGATATGCAATCAAAACAAGGCTAAAGAAACCTGAAAAATCACATCAGTTTTCAACTATGATTTCACTTTGTAACTATCACTCTCACTTTTAACTCACCACATAGTTATTAGACCTGGGAACAGAATAGACACTTGCCCCGTCACTCACTCCTATTGTTTCTAAATTTAGCTGAAAATTGTAAACAGTAGGTTAACCAAAAGATTCATTTTCTGAGTTGAAGTACTTCAATTAATCAGTCCTTCTCCACAGGAGATTTGCAGTATAACCCCATGTGCCCCTGACACTCCAATTCAGTTTTGGCAATAAATCATTAGTCCTATAATTGATTTGTGATCCGTGACCAAAATAAAACATGAAAAAAAAAAAAAGACAAAATGTCAAGTTTAATGTTTACCTCTGTTCCCGAGTGTTGATCCCTAATAACATCCATCTGTCTCTTAAACAGTTCTAATACAGCCTTGTAGACCAGTTCATACTGTTCCTGAAGAGCATCACAAACCGAAATAAATGAAAACAAACAAGAAACTTGGTGAACCACAGAACCAGAGTTCAGGAGTGTGAACATAAGTCAAACCCTAGTACAGCAGACCTGAAAAGACCATCAACCATAGTTTCATTGTAATGCCCTTATGTTTGTGAAGCCCATTTTGGATTGCAAAGCACTTGCAGCCTACTAGAAATAGCTAAATATTTGATCTTCTACCTCTAAATATACAAGGGCCTTCGGCATGTTTTATGTTCTGACCCCACTTTCTCACTTATCTTCCCCCGCACCATCATCCCTCCAATTTCGTTTTCCTGGCTCACATTTTAAATGTTTTATCTGATTCTGGATGCATTTTTGGTCAGGCACCTTCATCTTTTCTGGGAAAAGGGAGGTAGATTGTGGTCAATGGGTAGATACAGAGCTTCAATTATATTCTTCACTTGACCCTGACAATTTATCTCTAAAGCAGGTAGGCTATTATCCCTGTTTACACTTCGTACAAGATTGTTCAGCCATGATTTCCAGACTTGGATTCGAACCTGGGTCTTCTGACTCTTAGTTTAATATACCTAGATCAAGCTGCTGACACGCTCTCCTAGCGAAGACACCAAAAAAAAGTAGATCACCCAAGAGAGTCTGGAAATTTGTGCCTGTGAAAGGATTTCACTGTCGGGAAATGACACCGCCACCCTTAAAGGGTCCGTGCAGGTGGGGGTGGGGTTCTGCCATGGGACCTGCTCTAGCACTTGATTTTGGAGCTACTTTTCACCTGAAAGAGCCTCAATGGGGTTTCCCTGGCACTTCACACAATACAAATAAAGCACAACTTTTGCCAATTATAATTTTAGCAGGAGAACCATACAGAATCTGCATCACCCACACATCTGTTGGTACACTCTCCCATTTTTTTAAGAAAAGGAAAGTCAGACAGGAAGTGATCAGCTGGTTACAGTGCTATTTCCTGGTGAGAGTGGTGTCAGAAAAAGCAGCTGACAACTGGTAAGGGATTTGTTCAGCTAGTTGTTGATAATGTTGATTAACATATGAAAGCTAACCAGAAATCGTTTCCTCTGTCTCCGACCTTTACAAGGAGGCCGGAAATGGACTTTCTCTGAAATGAAGTAGGGTTTATTGATTGATTTATACTACAGAGAGCCATACTCTCTGTAGTATTGTAGATTCATACTACAATGTAATATTAGACAACTAGGTTGCATACTTCCTGGGGTCTTTAGACATTTATATGGATCGACCAGCTTTTAAGTCTGGTGGCACTAATCCAGCCAACGCTTTTACTTCACAGAAACTTTTTCCTTCAGGTTGAGTATAGAAAACACCTACAGTCGATGCATGAAAAAAAATTTTTTTCCACTAGCTATTAGTGGAAAACCTACGTGGGCCAAACAGAAGGCTTATATTACAATAGCTCTTCATTTTTTCCCCTCAATTCACAAATGTCAGATGAAAATATCTAAACTGCCACTGTCAGTTATTTTACCTCCAATTCTATGTGCAAGTTCATTTGTAAGTGCTTTTAACACTTCAGGGTCTTACCACTTAAGCAGTAGAAAGTAGTTCTAACAAATTATGTAAAAACGTCTGTTACTTCTGTCAACAAATGCTTGGTGAATAAATAAATGGGTGAAAGCTAAACTCCATCTTAAAGATGGAGACCATTTTTTTGGAAATGTGGGTAAAATTATTGGTGTAGAAATCTGGGTGAAATTAATATTGTAGAGAGTGAGAGTTCTGTCCTGAAGTGTTTCATCTAGGAGGTGGAACTTGAGTGGGAGAGGAGAGAACAAAGCAGGAGAAGAGCATTCCTAACAGAGTGAACGAGGGTGAGCACTTTGGGGTAGATGAAAATGTTGTGATAGATATGTAACCTTATTATAGTATGGTTATAATCATGGTTTTTTAAGTATGCATACAGTAAGGATCAGGAGAGACTACAAAACAATAGTAATTGTGGCTATCTCTAGGTGACAGGAGTATGGTTGCTTTTATTTTTAATTTTCTTCAAGTCAAAAAATGAGTATACAGACTGACTGCACTCTCAGGATTCTGTTACCACTTCCTGAAGCAGAAATAACAAATCTCTGGGGCGCCTGGGTGGCTCAGTGGGTTAAAGCCTCTGCCTTCGGCTCAGGTCATGATCCCAGGGTCGTGGGATCCAACCCCACTCAGGCTCTCTGCTCAGCAGGGAGCCTGCCTCCCCGCCCCTCTCTGCCTGCCTCTCTGCCTATTTGTGATCTCTGTCTGTCAAATAAATAAGAAAATAAATCTTTAAAAAAAAAAAGGAATAACAAAGCTCTGATTTTTCTACAGTTTCAGAAGTGAATTGTTGCTATAAAACTTCAAGTTAACCTAACTCTTTCTTTCTAATAAATCAAACAGCTTGTGAAATTTTTTCAACATCCTTTATAACAAATATTACAATAGTTTCTTAATATTTTCTGCATAGACAGTAAAATACAAGGAATGAGAGGAATTTGACCCAAGGCAAGGGATCCAGGGAAAAAAATTATCTATTCAGAGTTCGAGGAAATGCAAATGGACTAGTGCTCCTAAGAGGAAATTGGTAGTATAGCTAGGCAGTCAGCTGTTTTGGGTTGCCTTACTATTGAACAGAGAGATATAGCAAGACTGAGACACATGTTATGATCCATTCACCATAGTTGCATACCTGAGTTTGAACAAATGAAGGTCTTTGTGTTCGCATTTCCTGGATCAAACTAAAAACACTGAAGTTCTCTGGAAGTATCTATCAAATAAAAGGGGGAAAAAATCTTACTCCTTTGTTCCTCTGCTTTGTTAATAAATTATTATTTTATTTATTGAAAATTTAATATTACTTAATATTTAATAAATTATTACTATTATTGACAAGACTGGTCTTGTCACTCCCATGATATCTGCTCTCCTAACAGAAGATAATATCCAAAAAAGAATGCATTTTTAAAATGAATGTGGTTTCTCATCACTTGCGTCATGATTTAGAGCCTGGTATTTTCCCCAGAAGATTGAAGAAACTCTCGGGCATGATTTCGCATGGGGTGATCAAATGTCTGAAGTTAATGATATAATGAGGGATAAGGTTCAGATGAGGAAGCGTGAGAATTTTATGAAATAAAAGAAATTGGCAGATAGATTTCAAGCCCGTGTTTCAAAGTTCCCACTTCCTATTAGACTTTTAAAAATGACTTAGAGATTGGAACACAAAATTTGTGATAGATAGAGTCCATCCACTAAAGTAGTTTGGATAAAGAAAGGGAATTTAGGGCAGTGATTCTCAAACTACAGCATGCCTTAGAAGCACCAGGAGAGCTTGCTGGTTTCCCCCTTCCTCCCCCTACCTCCATAGTTTCTGCTTCAATCCATCCAAGGCCTCGCCCAAGGTTTTGCATTTCTAACAAGTTCTCAGGTGATGCCAATGCTGCTTGCCTGGGAACTAACTTTGAGAACCACCAACGTAGGGCCTAATTTAAGCATCTGACAAAGTGGGTCTACAGTGAATATTCTAGAAAAGATGAGTCATGGAGATAGATGTTTGGAAGAACCAAACAATTCCTAGGTCTGAAAGTAGCAGGTTAAGTAGACAGGAAGTGCCTGAGGAGAGAAACTCACCCCATCTTTTAGCAACATCCAGGTATAATCAATAGCACAGATAACACCAGTCCTTCCACAGCCGGCACTGAAATGAAACATCACAGGAACACATACAGTTGCAGAGGGTGGGTCATTGACAGTAGCTGGGAAATGTCACCAGCAGATTGGGGAAGAAGAAACCTAGAGGCAATGAAATGTTCCAAAGCACCCCCCTTTTCCCAGAGCATGTTTGTCAGTTGTCATATGCCCACATGAACCTCAGGACAGATCCTAGGTGACTTCTCTTAACAAGAGTCTCTGCACTGTTCCCAAGTAACTTGTCAGAAAATATTAATTTAATGCTCAGGTTGAATTTATTATGATTTGGTTTTGCTATGGACCTTGCCCTTTCAATCACTCTCATTTCTAAGCTTTGTTCCTTTCTCATCAACTGGAAAAAGTGAGACTAGGATCAGGAGCCTACATTCTACATGCTTGTACCACCTTGAATTCCAACAGAGTCTGTCTTCCTTCAGGTACAGCAGGAGTCCTGGCCACACTGTGACATTTAGTTTGTTTGGGTGGAAGGTTCAAAGACCAGCATCTTACCTGCAGTGAATGCATATGGGAACACTGACATCCTCTTGGTAAGAACGTACATCCCAGATGAGCTCAAGAATAGGGTCTATGGATGAAGGCACATCATGGTCTGGCCAATTCTTGTAATGAAACTGGTAGATAGTTCGAGTTTCCTATAAAAAAGAAGTAGCCAGAATAAAAAGCGAGTTCAATGTCAGGACCCCACCTCATTCTACCACAAGATTATTCTGACTTCCTAAGTAGCATCTCTGTCCTGTTGGCGATTTATGCCGCTTTCTTCTCCACAGGACTCTAGGGCCCATGTGCCTTCTGAGAACAATTAAAAGTGATTTCAGGTAACTGACTATTGGTCTGTCTCTATCCGCCCCACTCACAAGAGGAGGTAGATATTAAGATAGTCCAAACTGGAGCTTCCCAACTGGTGTGCTTCACCGGTTCAAGTGGGTCACAGTCATGCTGATATAGTAAACTCCTTTGTCATAGAGAGACCGGGCAACACGAGCTCTCAAGGTGGTTCCCAGCCTCTATTCACCACATAGCCTCTATTCATCCTACAAATATTATCATTTTTATAGGTGTGCCATGGTGTGTAATAGATTGGGGAGTAGGGATTACATCAAAGGTCTCTTTTGCATATGAAGATTTATCGAGAACCTCAAGGGCCCCACCACTCCTACTGTCTTGTGGCCAGCCCAAGTCACATACGTATGTATTTGCTGCCGTGGGCTCTTGAGGTTACCACTCAAGGTCTATACTTACACTATTGAACTTGGCTTTTAGAGTCCTGATTATGTAATCGGATTTTCTATTTTCAGCTTCCTAAGAAGTAAATTCAAATATTAGTTATTTCAAAGACTAATGTTCAAAAACTAGTCTCTATAAAGTAGACTCAGGAGCATCTGCTCAGCCATAATGGAAACAGGCATCATACTCACACAGGATATGGAGAAAGGGCCAACTTGCCGCGGTAGCTCTCCTGGTTCAGTCCAGTAGCGCTCACACTTTTTCTGTTGCACAAAGCAAAATGTCATGACTCCCCTCCAGATATTCTAGTCTCTTCTGGGTAACAAAATCCACTTCCTCATTCAGAAGCAAATTCACAAATTCAGCTCTGTGTCCTTTAACTTAGGTTAGGACCATCCCCAACATCATGGTCTGGAATCTCCAAAGATGGGAAAAACACTAAAGGATATATCAATTTCAGACTTCCTAGAAGTCTGAAGAAGTAGAAATAGGGATCTGACCTTTTCAGTACAGTAGTCCCACCTTACCCACAGTTTTATTTTCCATGGTTTTAGTTACCCATGGTCAACCGTGGTCTTTCAGTTACCTATATATAGTCCAGGATGTATTGTTGGAAGATCAGTAGTAGCCTAACCCTATGTTGCAACACTTACGTCATTCCCCTCACTTCATCTCATCATGTAGACATCTGATCATCTTACATCATCATCATCAGAAGGGTGAGTACAGTACAATAAGATATTTTGAGGAAGAAAGAGATCACATTCACCTAACTTCTAGTATATTGTTATAATTGTTTTATTTTAGTATTGTTGTTTTTAACTCCTACTGTGCCTATTCACAAATTAAACTTTACCATAGACATGTATGCATAGAAAAAAACATAGTGTATATAGAGTTTGGAATTATCCTCGTGTCAGGCATCCACTCCAGGCGTCTTGGAGTATATCCCACATGAATAAGGGGGACTATTGTATTTCAAAGGGATTAACAGAGATCATGTCTACTAAAGCAAAGCTGTACAAGCCAAGTGAAAGCTTCTTTTTTTATTAAAGATTTTATTTATTTGAGGGAGGGTACAAGGAGGGAATGGGGAGGGGCAGAGGGAGAGGGACAAACAGACTCCCCAATAAGCAGGAAGCCCAACTGAACTCTGCAGGGGCTCGATTCCAGAACCCTGAGATCGTGACCTGAGCCAAAGGCAGATGGTTAATCAACTGAGCCACCCAGGCACCCCTGAAAGCTTGGTTTTAACTGGAATTATGAATATCAATAGGAGGTAAGAAGAGTGTTATTCAATAGAAACATAATGTGAGCTACCCAGGCAGTTTTAAGTTTTCTTTTTTTTTTTTAACTTTTTTGTTTTATCCTTCATGTATTTCCACTTTTTTTTTTTTTAGATTTTTATTTATTATTTATTTGACAGGCAGAGATCACAAGTAGGCAGAGAGAGAGAGAGGTGGAAGCAGGCTCCCTGCCGAACAGAGAGCCCGATGCGGGGCTCGATCCCAGGACCCTGGGATCATGACCCGAGCCGAAGGCAGAGGCTTTAACCCACTGAGCCACCCAGGTGCCCCAGTTTTAAGTTTTCTAATAGCCACATTCAAAAATGAAAAAAATATGAGATTAATTTTAATAATCCATCTTAGCCAGTATATTAAAAAAAAAAACATGTAATCAATAGAGAACAGATATTCAATACTTGACATTTGTCTTGGTCTTCAAACCCAGTGTGTATTTTATATTGACAGCACATATCAGTATCTTAAATTACCATCGGAAACATTTTATTTCCATTTAGAGCTCATCAAGTATATGGTTGAAAAAGATGCACATATCCAAGTTGTTCCAGACACTGAATTGGAAAACCGAGTTTTTAAACTTAAACTCACTAAAATAAAAGGAAATAAAATTGAGTTCCCTGAAACTAGCCATGTTTCAAGGGCTCTATAGTCACATGTGGCCAGTGGGTGCCACATTAGACAACATGGGGTTAGAAGGGCTGACTGCCAGTTAAAGGTGCCTGATTTATTAATAAAAGTGGGAAAATGGTTACTTTAAAAGCATATCTTATCTTGGGGTGCTCAGTGGGTTAAGCCTCCGCCTTCGGCTCAGGTCATGATGTCAGGGTCCTGGGATCGAGCCCCATATCGGGCTCTCTGCTCAGTGGGGAGCCTGCTTCCCCCACCCCCCGGCTGCCTCTCTGCCTACTTGTGATCTCTCTCTCTCTGTCAAATAAATAAATAAAATCTTAAAAAAAAAAAAGCATATCTTATCTTTACTTTAAAATAGAGAGTCTACTGGGAAAGTGGACAAAAGGAATTCTTAGGTGTGTAAAAGGAGTCACTTGGTGTTCTCAAACTGACAGTTAATAAGATGAGGATAATTTTTTTTTTTAAAGATTTTATTTATTTATTTGTCAGAGAGAGAGAGAGGGAGAGAGAGCAAGCACAGGCAGACAGAATGGCAGGCAGAGGGAGAAGCAGGCTCCCTGATGAGCAAGGAGCCCAATGTGGGACTCAATCCCAGGACGCTGGGATCATGACCTGAGCCGAAGGCAGCCGCTTAACCAACTGAGCCACCCAGGCGTCCCGGGGATAATTTTTAAGTAGGCACAATTAAGGAAAGTTCTGCGACCAACTTTCCCCCTTCTCTTTCCTTTATCTTTAGGTCCACCAGAAAGCGACTCACCTTCCCCATCTCAAACTCCATGCATGCCATAACAATGACCTGGGGGGATGAAATTGATAGAGCATTGATGTGGTTAGAAAGAGCAGTTAACACATGGGTTCCAGGATTATCATTTTTTTCTGTTTTGTTTTTTAACCCCCCAAAAGAAATCTTGGTAAATGATAAAATGTCGCTACTGCCCTTCTTTCTGTCCTTACTTCCCTTTTTCCTATTCAAATCAGTAAATTCTTATTAACAAATGAACCTGTCAAGATATGAACTTTCATTTCCTTGAATACAGGTGACATTGTGATTTTAACAAAAATGTGCCTGAACCCTGAAATTCTAGCGACTTGGCCCCAAAAGGCACCGATTCTAATGCAGAGGAAACCTTAGTCCCATATCCTGACACCCTGCCCCCCTCCATCCCTAACAACTACAGAAGAGAGTAACAGAAGCAACTCTGTCCTTACCAGGATGCTGTATTCCCAGACCATCCTCCAGAAGTCCAGGAGAGTTGTAGACAAGGGTCCCTGGGTGGCAATATAACCCTTGGGTCCATAAACTCCCTAAAGGGGAACAGAAATTATATAGGATAACTACAAATAGTATCTTCTTCTTCTTTTTATTTTATTTATTTATTTATTTATTTGACAGAGAGAGATCACAAGTAGGCAAAGAGGCAGGCAGAGAGAGTGAGAGGGAAGCAGGCTCCCTGCTGAGCAGAGAGCCCAACGCGGGACTCGATCCCAGGACCCTGAGATCATGACCTGAGCCGAAGGCAGCGGCTTAACCCACTGAGCCACCCAGGCGACCCGAGTATCTTCTTCTTCTTGTCTAGGATCCTCTCCACCTTTTTTTTAGATACCTAGAGAAATATGGTCTAGTACCTCAACCCCTTGTTTAGGTTACTAGAGAACTATAGAATGCAGGGTGTACCTTAATGAAGTTGGCATTGATGTAGTCAGAATCTTCATCCGAGGTTATCAGGGACAGCTCTACTCGGCTGTGATCATCTATAATACAAAAGACAGAGCCAGGATAACTAAAAGGGCTTAGTCAGAGGGCTTACTGTAAGTCAGGACCTAGCACTGTGAATAGCAGATGATTTGTATAGGGAGAAACAAAACTTACAGGGCAAGATATCTTTATATCTGTTTTTCTTGATATTCGTGGGCATCTCAGCCACAGTGGTGGGATAGGTTTTGTCTGCCTTGTACTTGGTGGATTGTCTTTTCAGCTTCTGTAATAAAATTCCAAAAGTTAGATCCTCCTAGGGTACAGAGGGAAGAAGCTATCTCTAGATAGCTTTCCTTCTCTTCTGCCCAAACAGTCCACTTTTGCAACTGGTAACCTCTTCTAGAAGTACCTCCAGTTCAGGACAGAGCCCCAGAGCATAAGATCAGCAGACTTCAGTTTGGAGAAGTGAAAAGATCACACTTACAGCAGCTGAGCCACAAATAACTAAAACCTAGAGGTGAAACTAGCAAATATTTTAAAAGCCAATGTCTTTTTGAAAACAAACTATATGTTCCACACAAACATCAGCTGCTAGAAGCTTACCTTCTTTACAGCTACCACAGGACTATTTTAAGTAGAAATGGAACTTAAGCCAAATAAAATCTCTCTATATCTAGCAAAATTTCAAAGATTTCAGTCCCGAAAGCAGTCTTCATATATATATGAATATATGAATATAAATATTTATATTATTATATATTATATATAATATAAATATTTAATATATATATAATATTATATATATATAATATTATATATATAATATAATAATATAAATATTTATATTTATATATATATGACCTAAATGGCAAGCCTACCCCTCAACCAAGCAATGTTTAAATAGTATCATATTCTGTTGGTAGAATGTGATCGGGACCAGGCTGGGACTGGCATAATATGGTTCAACAAGATTTCTCAAGATGGTGAAGTAACTCCATGAAATTACTCCCATTTTCCAATATTCTACTATAGACCAGAATTTCATGTCAGAGAAAATCATAGTCCCTCTTTAGCAATTTTGGAATCAACCTGGTCCCAGATGTCGTTGAACTCCCTTATCATTTAAAGAAACCAATTTTAGGGGCACCTGGGTGGCTCAGTGGGTTAAAGCCTCTGCCTTTGGCTCAGGTCATGATCCCATGGTCCTGGGATCGAGCCCTGCATCGGGCTCTTTACTCAACAGGGAGCCTGCTTCCTCCTCTCTCTCTGCCTGCCTCTCTGCCTACTTATGATCTCTGTCTGTCAAATAAATAAATAAAATCTTTGAAAAAAAAAAAAGAAACCTATTTTAATAGAACTGACCTTTGTGAAGCCTTACTCAATCTGAGAAAGAAAAGGGGGAAACATCTGTGATAGCTGACACATATTTGTTGAACTGAACTATGGAAAATAATTTTCAGTATCTACCCACTATTTAATGGTGCCTCAATCACGTGACGAGCATTAACTACTTCCTATAGGTCCAATCCCTCAGGATCTACTCAGTCTTCATTTCTTAAACTTCTTTTTGAAATCTCCTCCTCCCTTGGCCCTTACTAGTCTACATTATCTTGGTTGTCCTCCTTCTTCTCTGCCTTCTCACTCTGGGATACCACATACTCTTAGAGAAGGCCTACCAATGGGAGGGTTTAAAATTCATTTTCCTGATTCAAATCAATTATAGTTCCAACCCCAATGGGAGAACTCTCAAATTTCTATACAGAGATTCGATTACCAAGTTCTAGTCCTAAATTCCTGGCCATGTCCTAGACCTTTCCACTTCTGCATCTTATTAGAGTCTCAGACTCCACACACCTCAAACTAAAATCAGCATCATTCCCACTGTCAATGACACTGGCATTATTTTTATCCCAGGCAACTACACACTGGAAACCAAGAGTCACTTGGGGTTCCCTGCTCCTGACAATTCCCACCTCTAACTGGGTCAGCAAGGTCAACTGATTCTTCCCATGCAGTATCTTGTGTCCACCTTCCTTCCTGTGTCTACCACAGGTCCATTCGTTCAGACCCTCTACCTTAAAACTTGAACCAGTCCAGTTGCTTCTTAACTCACCATCACACTTTTCTCTTTCCTCATTAAAATTCATTAAGGGACAATCATGCCAAATTAATCTTAATAAAAAATTGCTTTCCTTATCTCTCTCATGCCCAAGACAACTTCAATGAATCCCCCTTGCTACTGGGAAAGAGCCCAGACTGTTTAGCCAAGTACTTGAGATTCTCCCCAGTTGGACCCTGAGCAAATTTTCCCATATTCCCCACCCTACCCATATACCCCATACACCCCAGCCCTACCATTGTAAGGTGTCTTAAGACTGACTTCCCAGGAGACATACTATGTGCCCCATAAATGTTTAATAAATGCAGGAATAAATAAATGCAGGAAATAGGAATAAGCAAATGACTTCAGGTATCTAAAAATCTTTTTATAAAATTCTTAAAGATTATTTTTAAATTTTTGAGTAAACTCTACACCCAGTGTGGGGCTTGAACTCACAACCCCGAGACCAAGAGTTGCATGTTGCCCTGACTGAGCCAGCCAGGTGCCCCAGGTACCAAAAATTCCTAACCTGGACCTAGGTTGTGGTTCTGAGGGATCCTAGCTCTCTGATTACATGCATTTCCCTCATTGTCTACACATATCCTTGTTTAGCCAATTTAACAGGCTTGCTTTCAGTCTATGTGAACACTTAACCAGAAAAATATATTTAAGGATATTAGAAAAAAATGTATTTAAGATTATCTACTAAAACAAGAAATATTTTCTTTTTTTTTTAATATTTTATTTATTTATTTGACAGAGATCACAAGTAGGCAGAGAGGCAGACAGAGAGAGAGAGAGAGAGAGAGAGAGAGAGAGGGAAGCAGGCTCTTGGCTGAGCAGAGAGCCCGATGTGGGACTCGATCCCAGGACCCTGAGATCGTGACCTGAGCCGAAGGCAGCGGCTTAACCCACTGAGCCACCCAGGCGCCCAAGAAATATTTTCTTAAAAAAAAAAAGATTGACTTCTAGTTTCTTTTAAGATTATACAAATTGGAGGGCACCTGGGCAACTTAGTCAGTTAAGCATTCAACTCCTGATTTCAGCTCTAGTCATGATCTCAGAGTCATGAGATCAAGCCCCGTGTCGGGCTCTGCGGGGAGCCTTCTTAAAATTTTCTCTCTCCCTCCCCTTCTGTTCCTCTTTGCTCTGCACATGCAAGCACCCTCTCTCTCTCTAAAAAGAAAAAAAAAAAAAAAGATTATACAAATTGATGTCACTACCCATTATATGTAGTATCATTACTTTAAGACAATGACTTTCCTTTTCTTTCTCATAAATGTATATCCGGTACTGCTTTTGCATTTCTCAGCCAAGGTTATGATCTATTTTGTTCCAGGGGGTAAAATGATAAAGAGAAATAAGGAAATAGAGAAAGAACTTTCTTTGAGCAACTGGCAACAACAAAAAATAAAAAAGGGGGGTGTTACCTATTGTTGCTTAGTTGCTATACTTCATACAGTGTTTTCACATAATTAGGATGCGTGTCTATCTGTAGGAATTTACTTAAGGACATTTATAATTATATCATTTTAAAAACATGGGTGGGGCGCCTGGGTGGCTCAGTCATTAAACATCTGCCTTCAGCTTGGGTCATGATCGCAGGGTTCTGGGATTGAGGCCTGCATTGGGCTCCCACTCAGCAGGAGGCCTGCTTCTCCTTCACCCACTCCCCCTGCTTGTGTTCCCTCTCTTGCTGTCTCTCTCTCTCTCTCTGTCAAATAAATAAATAAAATCTTTAAAAAAAAAAATGGGTGAGGAAGGGAGAGCCTAAAACTAAGGTACGATGACAGAGAGATTAAAAAAGGTCATAGAAAATAGAAATTTCCTCCAATAAATCTTCCCAATCCATCGTTAGATTTCAAGATCAGCTCTGGATAACTTGATGAAAAGCTGGGGTCATGAGATGTTTGTTAGCTGGGAGTTCTTAACACCAAGAATTCCAAATATCGGGGCGCCTGGGTGGCTCAGTGGGTTAAGGCCTCTGCCTTCGGCTCAGGTCATGATCCCAGGGTCCTGGGATCGAGCCCCGAATCGGGCTCTCTGCTCAGCAGGGAGCCTGCTTCCTCCTCTCTCTCTGCCTGCTTCTCTGCCTACTTGTGATCTCTGTCAAATAAATAAATAAAATCTTTAAAAAAAAAAAAGAATTCCAAATATCTAGAAGTTAATTAAATGGACACTTTCCAAATAATACATAATCGCTAAATTATTATACCACCTCAGAGTATAGGAATGTAAGCCTTTTCCAACTGAGGATGACAAAGGGGACAGATAGCCAGTGCCTTCTTAGTTGCTGGACCACAAAGACCAGTGTGTTCTTCTAGTGAGCATTTTTTTCTGTTTCTAGAGGTAGATCAGACACAGACGACCTATTACAAAGCAGGTGTACAGTCATTTCTTAAATTCTAGTTTCTGACTATGGTTTGAGTTGCTGTGGATTTTCAGGATTAGATTTGGGGGGAGAGATGCTGAACTGGTAACAATACAGTCTATTTTCATCACAAGAGGGATGCAAGTGGGCTAGTTTGAGAGTTTAACTAAGGATGTGCCACAGGCACATGGGAGACTATTAAAGAGTTCCACTCAAGTTACACTGATTTTTCAGCTGTCTCCACTCTTATGAACTTTGGAATTATCACTTTTTATGTTGCCATTCATTCCAGGGCTGCTGAAAAGCTGTCAAGTCCCAGAACTGTTCCTCTTAGAAATATCTAGAAAGGAGCCTGGCGCATACTCCTTGTGACACTGTTTCTACTTGTTTGTTTTGCTTTGCTTGCTTGTCCAATGCTTTCTGAGAATGCTATAGGCAAAAAGCCCTTTTTGTAAGATACGCCTCTATTAATTTGGTAAAATGTCACAGATAAAGATTGTGTGTGTGTGTGTGTGTGTGTGTGTGTGTATGCGCACGTGTGCTTGTAAACCTGTGCTTGTTTAGCAGCCTCAACTGCCCCCTTCAACAATGGAACAGGATGGCTTTTTCTCCCCTACTCCTTCCTCCTCCTGGGGTCATCCTGCTGGATGACCAGGGTGATGTACTTTTAGCAAAACATCACATAGGAAATGCCTATGTAATTGTTCATTTGGGAAGTGTGAAAGGTTTTTGTTTTGTTTTGTTTTGTTTTGTTTTTAGATATCTTACCATGAGCTCAGATCACTGTGAAGGCCTTTTTTAAAAATTCCCC